TGTAACTTTTCCCTGGGTGTTTATACACACACCTCAACAAAAGGAGTACCAGAGGAAAGGAAAAACCCCAAAGGCAATTCAAGATAAATTAACCCTTTACCAAATTTTTAGTTCAAATATGTTCTGTGTGTTAGACTAAATGTATCAAACAGTAACAAAAGCAACTCTTGGCTTTTTGGGGGCTTTATGCCATTTCTTGATGAACTTGAGCACTAAAGGCAAACTCTGGTGACAACGCCGTATCGTGTACCTGAAAAAGAGAAGCGCATAAAAATCTTACCTTTGTGTGCACCTGAAGGGAGCTGAGCCAGGTTTGCAGCCTGCTCTGACGTGCAGATCTGTGATCAAAGCCTGGGCCGCGTGCCCACCACACCACATCAGCGTGGCTGCTTCGCCGGGTAGACGGGAACCGAGAGGAAGGACACCAAGCTCAGCCACCGACAGGTGGCTGTGCTCCCCAGCGGGGAACTGCCCTGCTCACCTCCTGCATGGAGAAACTGGGGGTTTCTTTCCACTCTTGAACAATTTTATTTTTTTAATTTACAATATGAAAGTAATCCCTTAAGCTGCACATTTTTCATTTTGACATGTGAAGGCGAAAAAACCTGCGTTTTGTGTTAGTAGGCCAAGACGGCAATATGCTTCTATTGTCCGGGCTCATTTTTAGTTCAGGTTACAGCAATTCCTTTGCACTATGCTGAGTGGGTTGAAAAACTGTATTACAGATTTACCTCTGTCTCCGTGACTGTGTTGATCTCGGCTGAGAGTAATTTTGGCCACGTCTAGACAGTGGTGTAAGACATGTCAGCATGCACCAGGACAACCTTCCATGTGGAAACAACATCAGAGAACACATCTGGCATTGCTACATATAATTATCTATCTGAATGCTGACAGCAGTATCAACAGGCAAGTTTTTAATATAAAGTGTGTTCATTATGAAGATGTAATTTAACCATCTGTTTGTCTGCTTTACTTGGTACCCCTTCCAGGGAAAAAAGCAAAACCTGGTTTCTCTTAGTCTGCAATGTAACTAGAACATCATTTCCGTGCCAATAGGGCAACTGAGTGGTATCGCAGACAAGAGAAAATAGAGTATGTTTTCTTTAAGAAATATCTGGCATGCTAAACAGAAGAACCTCTGTTTGAAAATCTGGCAGCTCACCTTAAGGCATTTTAAACCACGCGAGCGAGCACATTAGCAACTTCCTGCTGCTGGCAGCGCTGTGTAAGTGTACCCCAACAGTATGGACAGATAATGCAGAGCCCATCTGGAAAGCATGTAACAGCCTCTTCAGAAAACACTTTGCCTTGGAACAAATCACATCCTATTGCTCTCAAAAAGCAGACGACTCTGAGAGCAAACTGCCTTCAGAGATTCTGTTCCCATGGCAAGAAAAGGAAGACCATTTGCTCCTACTAAAACAACACGACGCTTCTTTATATTTGCAGATTTCATGGTAGCGAAGTAAATTGATGCATACAGTATTTTTTCAGCTGGATCACTGACCCGACAGTCTCACACCTCTGCAGGTTGTCTGCAGAAGCAGAAGAGCACCTGCATCTCCTCCCTGTGAGTCCCGTCACGTTTCACGCACGTGAAATATCTGGTGTTTCATGTTCAAGCAGTGTTCTCAGCTAGAGCTTTCCTCCATAAATCTTTAAAGGTTTTACAGTGGTCTAGCTAAACAGCTAGCACAGACTTTATAGATGACAAAGTTCCTCCCACATGGAGGTGAGCCAGTCTGCTCAAAGCTGCCTTACTCGCTCCCACGGACAGGACACCTGTCTGAGTTCTGAGGCTCAAGGCCACCCGAGGCAGCCGGCACCGAGATTTCCAGCGCTGGGAAATAAAGTTATGGGTAGGCCTTCTGGCACAAGCACTGGCTCTCGCAGTCTGGACACGGAGAACACAGCTACTGCTGTATTAAAAAGCCCTCTAGACCTGCTCCTGTGACACCAACTGGGACAGAACCTTCAAGCTGTGCGCTGTGCGCTGAACAGAGCCAGGAAGTGGATCATTTATGTGCCACATAGATCTGCCATTACACAACTAGTTAAAAAGGAGGAACGTATCCGCATTTCACACCCCAAGCAATAAAAGGAAGGAAGAAGCAAAAGGTTCCAGTACTGTGGTGGAGACATACACAGCAGGTGACTGGGACTCTGTTTTCGTGAAGTCAAAGTTCAGTATTGGCTCCACTGTCATATTGTTTTGTTTTGGTTTTTTTTAACGATAGCTTAGTATCTCCTATAATTTCACAATTCATCAAGTTGAAGGTTTAAGAAAAAGGACACTGCATAGGTCATCATGCTCCCCTCAAATGATCACTGGTATTTTGGCCTTGGTGCAGCCTCTGCATTATGATTCCCCATTTTCTCAACCTTTGTAGCTTATCTCTCCTCACTTCAGGATTTGTATTTCTGATTTTTTATTATTTTTCACCAGAGTTTCCATCAGATCATCCACTGTTTTACGTCAACCAGAAAGCAACTGCTTGTACTTTCAAGGTATTAAAATTTGTTTTGTTTGCTTTTTAAGCAGTGGAAACACATTTCTGATCTGTTTGTCACACTGCCAAACACGTGCTGCATTAAATAGGTGGGGTTTGCTGCACACTTTGCAGATGCAGGAGACCAAAGCATCCCTGCTCTGCCTGAACCAAAGGAGAGGTTTCACCTCAGTAAGGGAGAACAAAGTTTACTTTGGGTTTCATACCTTCAGTGAAAGACAACTCACACCTCTTCCTTTCTGGAAATTAATATGGCTTCTAGAAATGTTGTTCTGCTCAAGTGAGAATTTAAATAAAAGAGAGAGGGCCTATTCACATATTTAAAATTACCACTCAGTTACCCACTTGGAGGGTGAGGCCTGTGTTTTTAAGTGAGTTGTCAAAATCCTCTCTATTATTGAACTTCCTTGACCTACACTTAAATAAAAGGTACTCTTTAGCACCAAGACATGCTGGTATCTCACAGGAAAAACTGATTTGGTGCTAAGCCTGAGGGGAAAGGTGCTGTGGAACACTGTAAGGGAGCGGTGGCATGGCTCCTGGAGATTCCTGACAGGAGACCAGCCAGCCCTGCAGCCACGACACACTCACAAGGGCAGCTCAGTGTGCACTGCTGACACACTTATTTGCCAGCTATGCCCAGGAGCAGACCTCTGTGCTCTCCAGGATGCCAAGACAGAGATTAGCAGTGTTAATCCCAGTGTAACAAGAGGGTTCATTTTCTCCGGCCTATAAAAAACTCCGGCAATAATTCAACCTCTTTAAAAAGAACACATGGGTGGGGATGGGGACCCCAAAGCCAAATAAAAACTCACCAGGTAACCTAAAAGTCAGTCCTACTCTCAGTCACAGTGGCTTTTAGCAAATACGTTATTTTTACTGAGGACCAGCAAACTCCTAGTGGTCAGTGGCACCAAATGCACGTGCTCTTAACCTAGCTGCATTTTTTCTCCAAGAGAACACTAAATATCTGAGAGGCACAGGCATATCTCACTGTAGGAATGCCCTCATTAATACAACACTGCTGTTTATGTCATCCCTCTCACAGAACTCTGTTCCTTTCATCTGCACTGAAAATACCTTTCTCTCCCAAGGAAAACAGCAGATTAATCTCTGTGTGCTGTTGAAAAACTGATCTGCTGTTACTGAAAGGCTAGCAGCGACCTCAGAAAGGGGGCTGCTCATGCCAACAGCTTATCAGCACTTTCCATATGTGAGAAGTTGTCTCTTTGGTACAGAAACAGTCATTTTCTAACCTACTAAGAGTGTGGTAACATGATTAAATTTAAACTAATTTGGTTACCAAAACACCATCCTGAAGATTTGACTTTGGATCTCTCTAAAGTTTTTACTGAACCAATGGCTGTGATATCCATCCAAAACCTACATGTTCAGTGGGAAAGGTTGTTTTGTTAAATTACCACCGTCAGTACCAAAAATCCAGCTTTGTTCATTCCTGTGAGAGATTAATAGATTGTCCCTTGCCTGTTTTGGTCTTACTGTATGTTTTCATTTGGTAAGGAGAAAAAAAAAAAAAATCACAGAAGTACCACATTTTTATTTGCATGGGGTTGGGGGACTCCCAAAGTGTGATATCAGCCTGGGCACTGTGAATCAGGGCTGGGAAATTCCCTGGTTTGTTTTGTCAATAAGTAAACTGTATCTGATCAGTACACTTCAACAGTAGGGAATTGCAAATTTTAAATTTCACTGCTGATGGTTTCCTGTCCAGACCCATTCTTTTATCCCTTCTTTTCAATCACTTTCAAGCCTCTGCATAGAGTATATGTGGAGACATACCACTGGAATTCATACTAGTCATCAACGAGGTTTTTTTTGTTGTTGTTGTTTGTTTGTTGTTTTTTGGGTTTTGTTTTTTTGGTTTATCTCTGCCAGATAAACAGATTTTTAGGCTAGGTTTGTGAGGGACCTCTGGTGATCATCCCTCTGCCAGGGCAGGGTCACCTCGAGCAGGTGATACAGGAAGCATCCAGGTCAGTTTGGAATGTCTGGACGAGGAGGAGACTACACCACTCCCCTGGGGTTTCCCTTCTGGAAGCACTCCACAGCCGCAAGAGGCTGTACAGCCCCGGGCCTGCAGAGCCATTTTTACCACCGCGATCATTACCACATTGTCCCCACGCCGCTTTGCTACCCGCAGGCTCCTTCTCGAGGGCATGTCCCGGTCCGGGCTGGGTCGGTGGAGCACGATCGGCGCCGTGAGGGGCCAGGCTGAGGGGGTGTCTGCGGCATGCGTGTCCCCCCGGGCGCGTCCCCCTCAGCGCTTCCCGCCATTTCCCCTCAGGCGGCGCGCGGCGCCCCAAGAGCGGGAAGCCGCGCGTGAGGGAGGGGCGGGCCGGCGGTCTCGCGCCGCGCCTCGCTCCCGCGGCACGTGCAGGGCCGGCCGCACTTCCGGCCGGGCGGGTGCTTCTGTGAGGGGCGGCGACGCGCGTGCGCCGTGAGGCCGCGCGCCGGCGGGGCGGCCGCTCCCGGCGCAGCGCGCGGCGTCCCCTCAGCCGCCCCGGCCGCCCGGTGCTCTGGCTGCTCCTTCCTCCTTTCCCCTCCTCCTTCCTCCTCGTCCTCCTCCCCTCCAGGAGCCGGCGGCGGGAGAGGAGAAGAGGGTGCCGCGGCCGGCATGTGAAGCGGAGCACCCCCTCACCGCCGCTTGCCTCCGGTTCCTCCCCGGTTCTTCCTGGGGCTCCGCTCGCCATGAAGAAGTTTTCCCGCATGCCCAAGTCCGAGGGGAGCGGCGGCGGCGGCGGGACGACGTGCGGTGGCTCCGGGAGCGGCGTGGCCCTGGGCAGGGCGCTGCTGGTGGGGCGGTACCAGGTGACCCCCGAGGAGGCGCTTGCCGAAGGTAAGAAGGGGCCAGGGGCGGCGGGGACGGGCCGGATCCAGGCCTTCCCGGCCCCTCGGAGCCGCTCACCCGAGGTGAGCCGCCTGCGGGGCTTCGGGCTGGGCTGCTTCGGCCGCTCCTTGGGCCAGGGGCTCGTGAGGGCGCTCGGAGTTCCCCCGCTCGCTGCCTCGGGTGAGTGAGGCGGGGTGAGGTGTCACCGGCGCCTCCGTCAGCCTGCCTCTTTGGCTTTTGCCCCTTATTCTGGAAGAAAGGAAAAGAAAACAAAATAACCCACCCGATGAAATGAAATTCCTGGTCTTCCTTGGTGTAAGGCAGCAGATTGGTGTCACGGTCACGAGTGGAGGTGCACTGCTGGGAGGTTGTGCTGTGGAGCCTCCCCTCGCTGCAGGGTGCTCGGCTTGTGCTTCTTGTGGTGAACTTGCACTTCTTGTCGTCGGACTTCCACCGGGACCGAAGCAAGAGTTGTGTGATTTTTTGTAGCCACAGGGTTGGCTGGACTTTCTTAACTGTACTGCTTCCTTAGGTGCTGGCATGGGACACCGTCAAAACAGCCATTTTTGAGTTTTGCTCTGTGTGTGAGTGAAACAGCGTGGTGTTCATTTCCCAGAGCTGGTAATTGATGTGATGTGTGAAGTGTAATTCACTTCCCAGGTCACTGAGCTCAGGGCTTGTCCTCTATATTTCATAGTTACAGAATGTTTGTTTACAGCACACTGCTTCGGGTGTTGTGGGTAAAATAATTCATCTCTGTCCCTTTCGTCTGTGTGTTGCTTAGTCTGTGCCTAAGTATATTTATGCAGCGGTATAGTGGTGAACTTTTCACTGATCATGTGCATTTCTTGGTGGAGATTTAAGACACAATTTTAACAAGTGCATGCAGATGATATTACTAACTGGAATGGGAGCATATGAGTAGCATTTACATTTTCATTGTTATCTAGAAATGATTTTCATAGAAAAGTGGATTTGGTACTCAATATTTAGAATACAGTATCTTGTTTTGGGGGTATGAAGATGGTGTCGGGAATTAGCCAACTGCATACCTGGTTGCCTAAAGTCTGGCTGGTCCTTGCTGGGAACTACTTCCAAGTCATTATGGTCTGATAGAAGGTCATGTCTAGGCAGGGCTGATGGCAAGATAGAGACTTAAAAAAAATAAATAAAAAAGAAGACAATAGGCTCTTGAACAGTTTGAGGAGGGAATACAGAAAACGTATGTGGTGGAAAGGAGAGAAATTGCATAGTGCTTTGTTTAGTGTAGCACATCATTAAAAGTTTTCTTGTAATGTTCTGTGTGTAGAGTCACTATAGATGATGTTTTTTTCCCTTTCTTCAGCTGGCAGAAACAAATTGATAGCCCTTGGGGGCAGGGGAAGTCCAGATTTTAACATGTGACCGTTGGGTGAATTAACTTCCTACTTTTGAGTCTGAAAGATGTTTTCTACCGCTTTTTTTTCCTAAGCTTTTATGTGGCCTGTCAAATATGGATGCTTAGGATGGGAACTGATAATGCTTGTGGCGGTGCAAATCTGCCGCAAAGGTTGTCTTGAGAAAAGTCTCCAAGCTCCCCCTGGAGCGGGTCAGTAGGCCTGGAGGATAAGAAAATAACAGGTGGCACAAGTGCAGGGTTGGGGAAACCGGGACACACGGGGCAGTCTCTCCCAGCTCCCTGAGGGTCGGGGAGCAGCTGGGCTGTAACAAGGTGTGTGTGCCACAGGTGTGAGGGGAAAAGGGTGCTGTGACTGCGTGTCCAAGTGGCACTTGTGTGCTCCTAAGTGACACGAGGGTTGATGGATCAAGAGAGAGTTTTTTTGTTCAGGAATTGCTTGTTGACAGTCAATCCCTTGCCTCAGTAACAATTAATAGTAAGAATTGTGTGTTACTGCTGTTGCATTAGTCATATCGCTACCTGTAATTAATGCTGAACACTTTTTACAAATCCCCTGCTTCATAATCTTTCTCTTGGGAGGAGAGAGGAGAAAACTTTTTTTTTCCTGTCCTTTTTGCGCAAGGCGTTTTTTTCTTTCCGTTTCTGAAACCCAGTTTAGCTGAGGCTTATAAACTTGTCAGGTAGTTCCTGTTACTCAGTGATGATGAAATAGCGTTTAAGATGCTAATATACAAGTTAGAGCTTGTGTTATGAAGCATTAATGATAGATTAGATGAATTAATCTAAATAACTTAACAAATGTATTCACTGATTTTTATTTATTTATTTATTTACACAGTGCTCTGTTAGAAGAAGTGTGGTATATTTTATCTTTATTAGCTGTGAGAATTAACAGCATTTTATGTCTGTTTTATGCAAGCTGTTTAACCCCCATCCTCTTTCCATATTTTGTTCTGAGTAGTGTTAGGAAGGCAGCTGCTGGCGTTGTCGAGAATTGAGGCTCAGCTCCTGGTAAGTAGAGGGCTGGCAGCAGTGATACCAAAAAGCTCAGGTTATGACCTTCCTAGGCTGCAGTGATGAAGCTTTGGGTAGGTTTCTCATGTTGCCCTCGAAATGCTTTTCTGTAGTTTTTTGACAAAATGGTTTTATTGCAGTGTTCTAAAGGCAGAAGTGCGGAGCATTATAATCCAGTTGTTTTGAATGAAGTATAATGGTATTGAAAGGAAATGCATCCTTTTGATGAAAGAAGGTGTGAAGTTGAAGAGCACTAGTTATTAGGCTGTTAGATGGTTTCGTTTGTTCTAAACACACCTGTTTTGTGGAGACTTCTTGGCCTCCATAACCTAGTGGTCAGTATGTTGTTGGATGGAGGTATTTGTTTTTACTTTTTACTTCTCAGGGATGGGGGAAAAAGCAGGTAATTCAGTTTAAGGTTTGATGTAAAAAATCAATTCCTGTCCATTTTGAGGGCAAGGTAGAAATATGTGGAATAAGTGACTGATACAGAGTGAAGGCCTTGTCTTTCCTTTTATTGAAGCAGAGTGTTTGCAATGCAGCTGAAGTTTGGAAAGTGAAATCTAATAAAAGTATGGGGAGTTCTCTGTTGAAAGTTACAGGTGGTGCATGGGGAACTCCAATATTGGAAAAGACTTTACAGTTCAGAAATTGCAGCAAACTGGAAGTGGCCAGATATAAAACATGTTCTAAAAATTATCTCAAATGCCAATGCAGAATGGTTTATGTTGTCAAGTGTGAAAAGTGTAAATTAGCAAGTTTGCAAAATATTTTTGTCTTATAAGGGGAGGAGATAGAAAGCTGTGGCTTGACATAGTGATGCTACTTAGTTGTTTGCCTTGACTTGGACTTCACTAAGTCCTTTTTTCTTAATAACTGCAGTAAAAGTGATTTTTCTGCTTTCTATAAAGGTAGGCATCGGAAGACACGTTACTGGTCTCGTGCTGTGTCTTTTCTTGGCCCTGGTGTCTGTGGAAAGAAGGTTTGTCTGTGGGTACAGCGGTTTGTGTCTCACCAGCCGGGCTGATGAAGCGGCGAGTTCGGAGCTGTGTGGCGTTGAGCCTTTGCTGCTGTAGCTCAGGAGGATGTTGCTTTTCTAAGTGACCTTGTGTCTAGGACTAGAGAGGCAGGGAAAAAGCCACTCAAGTGGTGTGAAGTTCACTTGTTAGGTGCTTCATTTAGTACTTACATGTTCATTAGTTCATGTTTATGTAATAGAATGTTTTTAAACGGTAGTTAAAGCATAGTTTTCTGTGAAAAGGGGCCTCTCAATAGGGAGAGAAAGTGAAAAAAGCTTAATAAAGCTGGAAATGGCATGCTGTCTTTCATATTTTTTCTTACAGCACAACCTCTTGGAGTCATTACTGGAGAAACAGCTAGAAAGCCCCAGCCCACTTGGTAGGTTTAGGGGAAGGTAGCTTGATGCCTTCTGTGGTGTGTGCAGAGAAGCAGCCAAATTCTCAGAAGCTTCAATAGCAAACTGGTTATTAACCCACAGAGGGTCCGTGGCTTTCTCCCCATTTACCCACTCTGGGGGTCAGCTTGATTTCCTGTCAGAGAAAACCTTTCAGCAAGTCTGTGTCACCATGGACTGTGGGTCAGTCACAGCCATTTTGGGGCAGGGCGGGGAGGGAGTTGGTCAGTGCCATTGTAGTGTGGACCAGAGACTGACAGAGCCTCAAAGGGGCAGGGGGGGAGCAGTGGCTGGCTTACCTATGCTGAGCTCACCCTGTTACCTGCATGCTTGCCACCTGGTTATTTTGGGCCAGTCAGCCATTCCTCCAGTCTCCTACACTGGTGAATAAATGAGCTTCTTGCAAGTTTGACTGTCCTACTTTAATTGTGTATAGTCTTTGCAAGTACTTGATAACTCTTATGGTTTGGTTTGCCTCTTGCATTCATCCTGTTCTAGGCCTAAGTGAAATGTCACCTTAATGGAGAGGAATCCAGGTCCTGTTTTGTGAGCTCTTGTGCTGTGCATTTGTAGACAGTCGTGCTGTTTACTTAAGTTCTTCCAACCTCTCTTCATATTAGGGCAGTCTTGAACGTTCTGTTGTGTTTTTTGTTTTTTCTACCTTATGTCTCAGCAATAACAGTTCAGTTTGTAATCCAAATTAACAAACTTTGTGTTGTGCACAAGATTGTCTTTGCTTTTGTTAACCCCCACCTCAATTAACCTTCATACCATCATTTTTGATCCCCAGAGCGAGGTATGGTGAGGATTGGCAGCGCCAGCAGCTGCTGTAAATTCAGAAGCAGGCTGCTGTATAGCTGACACTGCTTCATCTCCTGTCAAGGTGGGGCTTGTTTGTTGTTCTTTGTTCTGGAGCGGTAAATAGAGAGAGGTGCCATTGTAATGGGTCTGTGGACTTTAGTACTTCCAAGTGTTTCCACATGGTGTGGCCCTGGTTTTTAACTCTGGGAGAGCCTATTTGTGTGCCAGGTGCTATGAATGTGCGTAGTGTGGGGTGACTTGTGTTGTGACTGTGTTGTGCTAGTTTTCTCCTGTGAGCCAGGGTGCTGTGTACAGTACTGGTTTTCATTAATTTGGTTGGTGCATGTGACTTGCTGCTCTGCGGAAGCTGCTGTTTTATTT